ACCAATAATGAAGTTAACGTCAGCGATACATATTCATTGCCTCAAGACGAAGACATTTTGATGAACGGTGTCTCCGTGAAGAATCAAGACTATTTGTCTCAAGAATTCAAACCTGAAGAAGTGAAGAAAGAAAATGAATTAAACTGCCAAGAAGATACTAACAAGCTCCTAGAAAAGCTTGACGACTGTGTTAGTGAAAAACTGAAAAAAAGAGAGAAACTATTAACTTTCGATTCATCAAAGCCGTGTGAACTGGAGTGTTTGTCAAAAATTCCTAAAACAAGTCAGCTTTCTCCTTTGAATAATCCTGTAGATTGTACGTCAATTGACAAATTTGATATTGTCAAAGACATTATTGATTTAATTTGTGATCGTGTAAACAAAATCATTGTACAGAGAGACGTTTCAAACCAAGAATTGAATTAAATGTTACCCTGTGATAACTGAAATAATTTTACTGGTGCAACAGTCAGTTGAGTAACTAAAGATGTAAATGTACAACTTTTGCTGACTGTCTATGCCATTTTATAAGACTGATAGGTAAGATGTACATTTATCTGGTTGACAGTGAAGTAGTCCTTCATTGTTTGTATTTATGTTACTTACCTATTTTTGAATAACGATCCTACTAGTGGCTTTAAATGGTGTAAACCAATCATATGAATACTTTTTATGAGCAAATGAGAAAAACAGAAAGTAGGTGTTCAGAGGTTTTTTTATGGTTCAAGATATTAATTGTGTTATATTACTAAGGAGATGTTTTACATAAACCATGTAGTTTTTGTTTAAAATCTGAATTTACACTTAAAAGTGTTTATGGTTCAAATTTCAATGATCAAGAATCTTACATGTAACCACTTGAAACCCACAACTACCTAGACACAAAATGTATTTAAATGCAGCAGTTTGGTTTTCAGCCAAGTCTTCTGTCTTGTATAGTTGTAAAAATGTAATATTTTTTGATATTTTTGTATAGGCTAGTATGTAAAATTATGTTGAAATGTAAAGGTACCTAGTCAGATACAGTTTGTTTACTAAAGCTGAAGTTTTCTCCTCTGTTACAATTTTGAAAATATACATTTATGATAGTATTTTTATCTCTATAAATCTGTATAAAAAGTGAAAACGTTTGAGTTAGAAATTTTAACTTAAATATTAAATTTTATAGATAAGTTATAAAACTTTCAGGCTGTATAATTTTAAAATAATTATTCTGTTGCGTGAAAAGTTGGAATCTCTGATCTCTTGCAGCAATCTTTTAGATCTTAAATGTACTCACATAACCTAGAGCATTGTAGCCTACTCTTTAAAAGGAGGATTTTATCATAGTTTTTTTTGTGGCCATGAGCTTAAATATTTCAGTGTGTTTTAAACATAGGTAGGCCTAGCTTGGTTATTTTGCTTGGTTTTTATAAGACAAGATTTAAATACACAAAATCTCTTGCAAGTACGGTACTTAAAAACATAAGTAGGCCTATACAATGCAATAATTCTAAGTATGAATAAAAGTGTACCTGAATAATATTTAAAAATCTATTTAAAGTAACCAACATCAATAATTGGCTTGTACAGAACTGTCAAAATAATTTGTCAATGTTATAAATTGCTTATGTTATGTATATTTTCAGCGCAATTAAAAAACAATTTCTTCTGCTATTTTATTTTACTATCCAGTTGAATCCTACAATCGGTTTTTGGACTAGTTTTTGTTCAGTAGACCAGAGTAGGCCTACATACATACAATGTTGTTTAGCACACTATTTTTTAAATTTTAACAAACAAACAATGGACGAACAATTGATTTTAACACTATCTTTGCTAGCTTTTAACCCTAATACATGAACTATTCCACCAAAGTTTTCCATTTTTTTTTAAAGGTTTAGACAACCACAAGAATGAAAACTTTTATAACACTTGTTTTTCTGTTGTGAGGCTGTGATAGTGATCTTTCACAGAGAATTCTATTATTTTAGGGTTAATTTCTGGATTTTTGCTTAACTGTTTATAACTAGGGACGAGTTATTGTTTATGATTAGATCGTATTAACTTATTTGGTCAAACGAGGTTTTAAATGACTGAAATAACTAGAAACAAATTGTAAACAAAACACGACCTCTGCAGTACACTGTAAAGAACAGTGTATAAGAAACTAACAATAAAAGAAAAAAAAACTAGAGAAAAAAAAATAAAAAAGAAGAACTAACAATAAAATTATTGTCTTCATCTGTTCCATAAGGATGAGAAATCTATTTAGGGAGTATGTTTTTTCTATGTTATAACTTGTTCAAATGAGCCGCATATATTCATATTCTACCATAAAATTTACATTGTATCTATTTTTTCATACTAAATTCTTACTACCTGACAATGTGTGAAAAAGTATGATTAACTCCATCGACTAGCCACTAAAAAAGTTACAATAAGCTTCTCCTTCAGATTGCACTGATTATTAAATGAGAGTAGCAGAAGTAAAATTGTAATTTACTGTTGAACACGCTAACCCTGTAGGTGACTCATTTTGAATCAAGTTATTTTTGGTCTTAAACTTGACAAAATTTGAACATGGGAGTAGATTGTTTACTTGATAAATGTTATTTCTAGTCTAAAAGCTAAGACTAAGGCCTTCACAGTTTGTGCTTAAAAAAACCTATCCTCATCATAGCTTGATAATGTGTTAGGAATAGGAAGTCTTTTGAAAAGAGGAGGTAGTTTTTGATCAGGGTTGATTTTGTAGGTTATTGAGGAAGAAAGAAAGGCTAAGAGGTATATGAGTGCACCCATTACCAAATTTTAATATTTTAAGTCGAATGATACAAAAATGCTGTCCATAGTGGGGTGGGGAAGGGTAGGAAGAGGCTGGGAGGAGCATGTCTACTCAATTGGATGCCAAGGACAGATCCAATTAAAAGACCCATTGCATACACGTAAAGCTGTTTGCAAGCCAGAGGTCCATCCTGTTTTTGGTAAAACAAACCAATCGTAATCACACTTACAAATTTTAATGCAAAAATCCACATAATTGTAAATTAATTGTGATAAAACACAACTTGTTGGTCCTAAAATGCTCAAGTGCATTGGTAGAAGTTACAGTATTTTAAAGGCGAACTTCTTAAGATATTTCAACATTTTTCATTTAAACTCAACACAATGCATATCAGACTGCAACCCCTCTAAATGAGATTACAGTCCAGGAAGAGTGGAAGTAAAGGCAGTTCAATCAGGTTTTCACAATGTAATTATTAATGTAATCTAGGTAGGAGCATACACTAGAGCAGCCAGAGTTATTGCTTTTTAAGTAAAATATTAGAACCTCGATAGTAAGTATCTTACAGCTATTATCAAACGACACTTTATCGAGGCAGACTTCTTATTGAGGTTTGCTGTTACATTTAATTAATACATAACTCAAAACTATGAAATTAATACTGAATATTAATACAAATTTAAAGGTATTCGTAAAGACACTTGATATAAAATCAAGGGTATTTGAATATGGCACTTGGTACTATGGGTGACCCTGGTGAAGTTCCTCTATCTATATAAGTTTTATAAAAATACAAAACCACATAAATGATAAAAACAGATTACAGACAATATTCTAAAATATTAAAAAAAGATTATTAGGAGCTAGATATGATGATAAGATTTAGAAAAATGTTTAAAAGCTACATTTTCTTTAGATATTGATTTGATAGTTTAAACTAACATATAAATTTTGAAATTACATTTCTTTATAATTGTTTGAACTTTGCCATCTTTAAATTGACTCTTCACTACTCAATAATATGTGCTTTTACATTCAAGACATCTGTGCAAATAAGGTGTAAACCTCTCTAAATAAAGGAAACAGCAAGGATAGAGCTGTACAGACAAAAATCTCAATAGCCCACAAGTAGTTTTTATTAAAATACTAGCAGAGTACCTGTCCTTCGTACGGGGTTGGCATATAAGTATCAAATGCTTATAGCAGTTATGAGTGAGGACATGGTTTAAGAAATTTCGGTTCTTTTTGAAGTTCGTTCGCTACGCTCACTCACCTTTAGGTTGGAGCTCGTTCGCTGCGCTCACTTTCCTTCAGGTTAGCTCGTTCGCTACGCTCACTTGCCTTCAGGTTAGCTCGTTCGCTACGCTCACTCGCCTCCAGGTTGAAGTTTGTTCGCTACGCTCACTCACCTTTTGCTGTTGTCATAAATGTAAAAGAAATAATAGTGCTAGTGCTGCACCCTGTTGGTAATCCTTGTAACTTTTAATGCTATTGAACATCATAGAACATAACCAACTTGTTTAATTGAAACAGCTGTTAAGATTCATTAATTCCATTTCTCATAAGGTTAACATGGGAAACTCCAGAGCCACTGGGGCGGAGCCCCGAAGGATTTTTTGGGATAAAAATATGCCTATATGTTAATCGGGAATGTGAGCTATCATCATGCCAAATTTCAGCCCGATCCGACCAGTAGTTTTTGAGATTAGCTCATACAAACACACACACAGACACCACCTCTTCTTTATAATAGTATAGATAAACCATTTGTTTATCCATTCACTGTACTACAATTTTCCCAAAGGTAGTAAATTTTTGAAATTGTTGCAACTATTGGCGGTTAATGTGTCTTTTAAATCATCGGGGTGGACAACATTTTTTAAGTGGTCATACAATTTAAACATAAGTACCGGTAGTTAAAAAAAAATAGTCCTAACATGGTACCCTGTGGCACACCACAAAAGCATTTTGAAAAGCTAGACAATTTTTAAAATAGTTGTTATCGGTTTGTGATATATAGTTTCTACTTTAATGCGATATGAGGAACTAAAATCTAACTTTGAAAATACTCATGTCTAACAACAAAATCTCCTTGTTTGCGACAAATACTACAATGGCATGATCAATGTCCACCATGAGATAGCGGTCTGTGTCATCTATTTGTTTTGGCTGGCAGAGAGGGGGTGAATTGATGCAGGAATTTTGTACTAATCAGTCTGCTTCTAGTAGTCAACCATCTTAACTGTTTGCAAGTGTCCACTTTGCGGTCGTGCCTCAACAAACTGTTTGTTCCCAGTGTTGGTTTTGTGTGTTAGAGTTTTGGTATCAGAGTTTCACCATGTGTTTTTGCAGGAGTGGAGTCACATAGGGGTATGTGATTTTATTTTGATGTTTATTGGTAAATCTTGGGATTGTATTTTGTTGATATGTCCTTGCATCAGCGTTGACACGTTGTATAAGAGCGATCCTTCTTTTAACATGATTATAACTTTTTATTTTGAATGGCTTATATAATTCTAAACATTATACTATTTATCGATCTAGGTAATGATTTTCGTTATTGTCAGGGTCTGCATTAAAGGAATTTTGTATAGTTAGTATATCCTAGTAATAGTAGCCTATCCACCTTCAAGTCACACAGGGTTATATTTTCTGTTTTAAGTTTACCTAACGTTTTTTTTTTCATAAGTGAGTAACAAAGGCGGTCATATGATTGTTAATACTTATTGGTACATATGGGGACTAAATTATATGATTTTGTCTACCATGAGTAAAGGAGTGTTCTTAGTATTTTTTAAAACTAAAAAGGACTAATAGGAAAAAAAGTATATCCCTCATGTACACTCTTTTAAAACATAATGGTATATTTTATACATACATATATAAATATATTCAACCTATTATTTTTTTTTACTTGAAGTACTTTTTCTAGGGTTCAGCTCTGTAATATTGTATTGCAACACATTTAATTTAGTCCAATTAATTTTTCAGGTTAGACTATCAGAAAAAGAATGCTGGGATTTCGAAAGAACATTGCTTGGGTACTTATTAAAGAATTTTTAACCATTTATAAGTCAAATTGAAGAAAAAAAAATGTTTAATCAAATTTTGGAAAAATTCAATGAAATTCGTATTGTAATCTCATATGAGCATAAAACTGGCCAAGTCTGTACACTTAGAGCGGGGTTTAACCTGATTTTAACTGATTTTTGTAAGCACTAAGTTTCATTCTTTCACAAATAACATCATACAGTGTTGAATTAAGTAACTGAAGACTTCATCGGGCAATTGATTTTTTTCTGGCTTCTGATGCAGGATTGTCACATTTCTTTGACTATGTCATAACTTGTTTTTGGTCGACCATGTGAATGTCTTTTGAAAACCCTTCCTGTGTCACGAAACTGATTAAACCAGCGCCGAATTGCTTTATCGAGTTAATTCAAATTGAATTTAATTTAACAATCAATTTACACCCTGCGAATCACAGATCACACTGTGCCTTCTGTTGCGCTTTAAACATTGTAGCACTGGCGACTGGCCTCAGGCGTGTCAGATACAATGGTTGCTTGCCACCACGCACCTCTTTTGCGCTTGCTAATGTTAATGTTAACGTTTCCTGCCTTGCTACCTGGAAAACAAAACTTATTTATTTTAACTCCAATTTGACGTTCAGTTATTTTGAATAGTCCCCAAGCAATGGCCGTTTCAAATCCCGGCATTCTTTTTCGGATATGATTTAATTTTTCAGATTGTTAAACATGGCGTAGGGTAGTTGTAGTATCTATAAAGCAAAAAAACTGTTTTTAGAAAAAATAACACTTTTTTGTTTAAAAATAGACCCCATCTACCAGTTATCGTATCTATTTAACCAACATCTCTGATTTTAGAACACGAAACATCCTTCTCCGTTTCTAATTTTTTAATGATAGATTTTATTTTTACGACGCCGTCACACAGCGTGTGTATTTTTAGGTGAAGGAGAGTGATGAATGATATGACAGGTTTGTTACTGACTAAGATCGGCTGGTTCATTGTCAGTCACATGTTAATTCCAATGATCGAGGACAGCTGGGTCCAGTTTTGAAGCATTAAAAAGAACCAAAGCTTTAGTGTCTAGGCTTTTTAAAGAACCAAAGCAGCAAACTCGTGTTTACTAGATCCATCCAGATATTCGCCCATTGTATAGAGTATTGATGCCAGTCAAGGAATATACCCTGTAGGGGCAAGGCGACACTAAAAAAAACTGGCCGTAATGCTCGTCAAGCATGACGTCACGATTGAAGACGGCAATGACGTAGGTATTTATTTGTTTATTTTCAAAGGAAAGAAGAATAAAACAAGCAGCTGATCACAAACGGCTAACATTATGTCATTGCCATCTTCTATCGTGACGTCATGCTTGACGAGCATTACGGCCTGTTTTTTTAGTGTGGCCTTGGTAGGGGCCATTCTATAAGGATTAATTAAAGTTAGTATTTCTTATTAGGCGGGGCAGGTTACTTGCCTCTATGCAACTATGGTACTCTATGGTTAGGGCCTACTGGAATCGTGTTAACAAGGCTTCAGAGTGTCTTTGGGTACCTTATTTACTTTATTTAGAACCTTCACTCTTTTTTAATTGTTGTTTGATTGTAATAATTTAACTATTGTTTGTAACACTTGTAAAATGTCAGTGTATAGCTGAACTTCTGGTGTGATTTTCATATAACAAAGTCGGTAGTTCTTAAATGCTTCACTACTCTCCATAGTAAGTTGTGCAGCAGTTTTTGAAAACAGTGCAAATCAAAACATAAGTCTCTGAAAATTGACTTGACTCTTTACTTAAATCGTCTACAACTATTTTGTTTCCACGAGAAGTATGAGGTTAGAATGGATTACCTATGAGGTTAGAATGGTTTACCTTCAGTGAAGAGGGTAGTCTTTGTAATGTTTGATCAATCGATCACAATGTTAATTTTGATTGTTACTTGTAGCCTATAGGCTTTTGTTTGAAAATGTGAGTTTGAGAAACTACTTATTTCCAGCAAAGAAGAGCTTCAGCCCAGACGAAAACATTTTAAGGTGAGTTTCTTGGAGTTTTAGTACTCTATAATCAATAATTCATTTTAACTTATTAATTTGGTATTAATTATTTGGTATAAGACAATATATTTCTACACAAGTTTATGAAATTAAATGACCCAGTAACACAAACACGGTATTTTTTAATATTTTGAGTTTTGATAGTACCGTAACCTATCAAAGTAGATTTAATATTCAAATTGAGTTGTATTGTTTACAATATCTGCACATCCTGAAATTGTATAGTTTTAAAAAGGAGATATGGCTTAAACAGTTGCAACTCTTGATACACATACTAAAACCATACTTATGGTAATGGAGAACAAGGCAGTAATTCATAAAGAACAAGTATTTTGCTGCATAAAATTGTAAAGGAATCGTCCATTCTCTGAACTTATTACTATTTACCATATAACTTTAACTTACTGTTACAAAACAACCATGATTAATTGGTCAATGAAAAATGACAACTGATCTCAAATCAATAAGGATCAAATCAGCCGCCTTTGCACGTACATGGGAGCAGCTTTGTTCTTTGGGCCAAGCCACTCAAAAATAACTTTTGTATTCATAGTTAATGATAGACAATAATATTATTAATTATGCACTTTTGGCTTCATGGTTTTTGGGGTGGAGATAGAACCAAGCTCATATGTAATAAAATGACTGTCCTAGGTTGGGGAAATGAGTATTTTTTTGTGTAAACTATCTGTTTAACTGAGTCTGGAGATGATCTCTGGTTTTCATGCTACTGGAGACTATAGAGGGTTCATCTTAATATTCCCTGACAGCTTTAACATTGAAATGAAATGAAATGAAATGTGTTTATTGTCCTTAGAATTTTCACAAATTATTGACAAAGCCATACAACTGCTAAGGTTTATAGCATAGTCAGTTAATAAATACAGTAAGATAAAATATAGCTACTACATAAAATGAGACATCTTACAATACACATTTTAAATATTACAATTGAATAGGTAATCTTATTCTTATTGTTTGTACCGCAACATTGTTAGATTTAACTATTAAAACTATGGTCTGAAAGATTCCCTTTAAATCTTAAATTAGCTGAGTGGCTATAGTGCTGTCCTTCAAACCTGAAGGTTGCTGGTTCGATTCCGACCAAGATCGTTACCAGACTCAGGTTCCACTTGTCATTGTTCTACCAATTACTGCAAAGATTCTTTCTAACAACACAGGCCAACGTTTGATAGTAAGAAGACCAGAGTTTGGACCGTTCCCTTACAAAACGCATTAATAAGTGCCACTGGCATAGATAGGGACAATAAAAAAGAATTAAACATTTTTAGTGAGGATCCAAATTATTTTTGGGTTTTGTATTCTCAAGAATATAAATTTATTCTTTATTTGTACCTGTAATAATATTTGTGTAATGGTTAAAACAATATTAGGGACTGTATTTAATTTAATTTTATGTATTGCTCTTGTATTTAGTGCACATTCTCAGTCTTGTAGTTTAAATTATTATTCTTATGTTTTTATCTAACAAGTGCAACAAATTTTTGGTTTTAAAATGGGTTTTTAATTGTAAAAGTTTTAAATGTACATATATCCATGAACTAAACATTTGACTCGTGATTTAAATATAGTTTAGTTTAGCTTTCAAATTTTATTATTTATATGTGTTATTTATGTCAGTATCAATCGGTTGTGCTTTTCTTTTTCAGGACAATTCCACAATGGCTGACAAGAGAACTACTCCTCACTTTGACATCAAAACCATCCTCAAGTCATTTAAGCCAGTTGTGGACGACTCCCTGTTGTCAGATGCACCTTTGGTTGAAGTTGCCGTGTGCAAAATAAAAGACAAAAAACACATTTCAAGATTGGTTCTAGAACTCAACGACAAACTACCGATCCCTACGTTGCAGCACTTGAAAAGAGTTTACCAGGACCATATCATTCTGTACTTGACATCGGAGCGAGACGAGGAATGTTTAAAAGATGACAAACTGGACATCACAGGACTGGATTTGGATTCTTTGAAACTCATACAAATTCCCAAATCAATGCCAAGAACTTTAAAACAATATTCAAGAGTGAAGTCGATATGGTCTTGTTCTTTTCACGAAGATAAATATCTGGAGAAGTTATTGTCCAATACCTTATTCACGGTCGGGGAGATGGAACAGCACTGCAGGTGGATGAGAGAAGCTATAGGTGCAGCGAGAAGAAGTAAAACGTCAGTTGGAGCTGCAATTGTTGATCCCGTCAACAAATCTTTGTTGGCTGTAGCAGCAGATGATAGGCAAACTCATCCTATAAGACATGCGGTCATGGTGGCTGTGGATCTGATCGCTCGTTCTCAAGGAGGCGGTGTCTGGCCGGTGAAAGAAGATGACTTTGTTTTCCAACGTGATGTGCAAAAACCAGTTGTGACTCACGGCAAACGAGATTTGGAGGGGGTGGAAAAACCTGTGGGTCCGTATTTATGCACTGGCTACGACATTTACATCACCCGAGAACCTTGTGCAATGTGTGCTATGGCCATGGTGCACAGTAGAGTTAGACGAGTGTTTTACGGGTGTGAAAGACCGACAGGAACTCTCGGATCTTTGACAAAAATTCATACTCTCAAAGGACTCAACCACCGTTACGAAGTCTTTAAAAACCTACTTATGGAAGAATGCTTGGACCTGTGTGGGTAGTAGAATTACAATAAAGCTTTTTATTTTACATGAGTACCTACTTAATTTAACATCCTCTTCCATCTTCAATCCATGTTTATTGTTAAAAACTGATTGATTGAATATTTTCTGGAACCAATTTACATTTTAATAAAAGTTAACACTGTCAACAATATCACTACGGTATTTCAATCAATTACATTTTATTCGAGTAAAAGGGATATAAATAAAATACATCTTTTGCTACTATTTAAAAATGATCAGAGAATGAATCAAATCTAATCTAGGTGTCTCCAAAATTGGAGACTCAAAATTGGACACTGAGTTTACGATTTGGCTTTATGATAGCCAGTGTGACTGGTCATAATTGATCGCCATAGTAACATCTTTTATACGTACCATCTTGTAAATGTTTGTATCAAATGATAATATATCAGATTGTTGGAAGACGCATTTTATTTAAAATATTCTATTTATTATTTTAATTGAAGAAGCTTTTACGATGCTGATTGCGATCTAGTGTTTAGTCCTGTTGCTGCACACTCGAGATCTCTTATAGGCTACGATTAATTATCATGAGCAAGTGTAATTATAGTCCATGATGCCGCCAACAAATTGTCAGTTATTTGGGTCAACTAAGAGCAAATAGAGCACCAATTGGCAAATTACGACCCAGCGTCGAGTAACCAGTCAGCTCATCGCATTAGGCGAAGAAATGTGTTCGTCATACAAGTATTCCCAGAACCTATATCTGCAGCAGGAAATGTTTAGACTTATTCAATAAACCTTGTCGTTTGTAATTTAATCTTGTCTAGGTCGAAGTCTTAGGGTTAAATGATTTCATTTAGGCCTAGTCACTTTCTAGGAAATGGTGATGCATATTTTCAGCAAAGTGGATTTGAGAAATTAGTACGAGTACAGGGATAGGCTTTATGTGATGCTTTGTGTTGGATTTGTTATTGACCGAGATCTTCTGATTTTTTTTACCGAATCATAATTAAAAAACTAAAAGAGAAATGACCAGTCATAGAGTTGGGTTTAGTTCTGAACCATCGGATCTGGCAGACTCAGATTGAGGTGAAAGTGAGCATTATACAAGGTTAATGTTTCAATGTTGTATAGGCTCTACATTTCACTTTAATGTAAGTGTGGTGAAACAATGGATGGTTTTTCATGCCACTGAGAGAGTTCTTGTCTATTAGATAGCCAGTTCCATACTGAGAAAAATACTGTAAGAAGTTTTTGATCACTCAAAACTGAGTCCAGTCGTCCTAGATCATTGGGCTTAGCCAAAGAAATAGCAGGGATAGTTATAGTCAGTAACACTATGCAAGGTATTCGACATCATTCACTTATCATTTATATTCATGAAAATACCCCCGCCGCAGCAAAACTGCAGACTAAGTGAATTTCAATTAACCTGGTTGGATTTTCAAAAAAATATTTTCTTTAAATTATCCGATTTATTTTCTAATTAAATACCATTAAGTTTAATAATTACCGAGGTTTGCAGCTACAGGGAAGGCCATAAGGTGTGTTTTTAAATTGAAATGTTAATAGCTAAGTATGAAATTAAAAATTACCAAAATTTTACCAAAATCCTTAAACAATCAATCTACATCATTTTATTAACTAAGATGAGTAAATATTTTGACCATAATTAATAGTGTTTGTTGAATTAAAGCTAACATGTAAATGTTGGGTTAACCGTTTTGATAACATGCTTCCCCCTTCCATTAATTTCTCGTACACAAGGCAATAATTGTTTAAATAGGCTTATTCATGATATCATTTCCATTACTAAAGTCAGTGTGTGTGTGTGTGTGTGTGTGGGGCACTGTGCACTGATGCTATGAAGACATTGTCGCGTTAGTGTTGTGCTTTATTTAAAGTTCTAGAGGTAAAAAAATCATTTTCCAAGAAATTTGGTAAGGAATTGGGTTTCTTATTTTTTGGAATCACTGCAAGGTATTTACCTACGTTAATCAATTCAATTTTATATAATGTGTAGATAGTACTAATAATCAGCATTTAAATTAGTTTACGCCTAATGGTTATAGTAAAAATGGTTGGCCTACTAATAAAAACACTTGATCAACTTACCTATAGCAGCAAACCTAAAGTAGTCTACTCATAAAAATAATAAAACATGAAATAAATCTTAAAACTTTAAGAAATATTGTAGTAAAAATCCAATCAGACAGATGAAGATTCGCTTACTTTTTCAGGGAATACTTACACTTTTTGCGGTGGGGTTATTTTTTATTTTATTTATTTTAAATAAGGCTTATCACAAATGATTACAAAATATAATCAAAAGCTGGTTAGTTGTTGGAGGTATTGTGTAACTTGTGTTGTGTTCAGTCCAGTGAGTGACTACTGGGTTGGTTGCAGTTAGATAATAATGAGCAGCTCTAGTGTTAGTGTTGTGTTACTGTTGGTGCAGTGAAGAATAAACTGTGAATGTGACAGAGTGTTATAACTCTCTCTCAGTGTTACTGGTCATTGGCATTCAGGTATGTTTAAATTTTGTGTTGGCCTCGTGATCAATTGAATGGTCTGTACTAATTTTGTTGAAGATAGTGTTCTTTATAGATATAAATTATGACAGAGGATTCTTATTGATAGTTTGCGAAGGGATGAACATTTCTTCATTTGAACCCTGAGAAAATACATTTAATTAGATGATTTGAATTTGACTTGATAATGTAAAGAAACAGCTTGTCAAAAGTCTAGAGCTGCAAGTCATTTCTTTCCAATATCCTTAATTCATTGGGGTTAAAATGCAAAAAACTCGTGACCCCATCTCATTTGGTAATATGATGTAATGGTAACAACCAGTGGCAGTTACAAGGGGGGGGGGGGCAGGCTGTAGGACCTAATGACCCCCCAATTGGACACTGAAAATAAAAATTTAAACATATATTTTGTAAAAAAAACGTAACGGGGGTTTTTGGACACACTTCTAGACATTTTAAATGGCTTTTAAAAGTCACCAAACGGCATTCCAAATTAAATTTCCTGGGGTAGGACTTGCAAATTTCCCCTAGCCGGCATGGTGTAGACCACCCTTGGTAGACCTCCTTGACAAGGTCGTAGAACCGCCACTGGTAACAACAGTATAAATAATAGCTTAATGGGGTTAATGCTTAAGTGGAGGTCATTGTGGAAAACATTTTGAAGCATTTAATGAGACAAAAAGGTTAAGTTTCTATTTCTTATGCAAGAGCACCGAATGACACAAACAAAACAATGGTTTAGTTTTGTGCATAAGAATCTGATGAGACAAAAGAGATTGTTTAGTTTCTCATTTTTTGTCCATGAGTACATAATGAGACAGGCTGTTTTATTTCTCATTTGTGAGCACGGAATGAGACAGAGGTTTAGTTTTTCATTTCTTGTTCTAGAGCGGGTAAAGAGACAAAGGTTGTTTGGTTTCTCATTTTTTGTCTAAGAACACAAAAGCGGATTTTTTCTCATCTCTCATACAAGATAACCTAAGGATGATACAAAGAGGTTTATTATCTAATTTCTCGTGCGAGGGCTCCTACTGAGACAAAGAGGTTTAGTTTTTTATTTCTCGTTCATGAGCACCTAATGAGACAAAGAGGTTTATTATCTCATTTCTTATGCGAGAGCACCCAATGAGACAAAGAGGCTTTTTAGTTTCTCATTTCTCGTGGATGAGTAGGAGGAGTGGTCGGTCCATTACTAGACAATTGTCACATCCTGTCTCATGTTGAGCTGGGCAACACTGTTGTTGTATACTCCTCTGAGTCAGATACATGATTCTAATAATTCACGAGTTCTTTTTTGTGTGTAGCATTTTTAGTGGTGTTAATTTAACGTCCTTTAAGAGATTTTTACCAATATTTCCCTTACATTATCATTACATTTTTATTAAGTAGCAACACCATTTAGGTGTGTATTTAAAGCTAAATATGAACATCAATATTAGTGTATGATGATCTATGTAGCATTTTCTCGGGTTATTAACTGTTTTATTAGCCAAGACTTATTAAAAGCCTTAGGATGGTTAAGAACAGTTTGGCCCAGTCTCAAACCATCAAAAAGCTTGTGTTTTTTCCAGGATTATTTATAATAATATTGAATTGGTAATTTGGTCTGTAATCCATTCAAACAAATATTTTAACCCAGACGCTCCAAACAAAAATGAAAATGAAAAATTACTTTCACGATCAGTGACGATTCCAAGGGGTGGAATAATTAATATAACATACATTTTGTCATATAAACTTAACAGAGGTATTTGGACACAGTTTTAGTTAGATGTTAAAATTACCATTAGAAAGTCACCAAAAGGCTTTATATACAGAACATAAAGTACCCTACAATTGCGGTCTTCTAGGGACAACTATGTCAAAATCAAAACATCACTATTCTTATGGTGAAGAATAATGATTAATCGATTTTGACATGGTCGTCACCAGACCAGGATTCTACAATAAGTGACCGTATCCAGTGGAAGCCTGTCCAGGAAGATACAAATATTTTTCAGAATTGAACCATCAACATTTCAAGTCAAAAAGTGAATAATTCTAAACACTGTGGCACCACTTTGAAAGTCAATTACCTGTAGAACGCAAATATTATAGTTTTCATTTGGTGACTAGACAAAACATAGTCTTGGAACATTTTTTCACTTTGTGGAAAAATTTATTTGTCAATTTTAAATCCCAGTCAAAGGTCACATTAGTGTTATCATCAATGCAATGATAATAAGCTGGCAGTTATTATATCAGTCCGTTTCTTATATCCACCTGATGCAGTTTGGATTTGTGTAAGTTCCAACAAATAGTTTTACCGAAAGTCAAGAAATTGGCATGCTGGTAGAGAAATGTAGGTTTGAATTTGAAAAGACGAGTTGGTTTATCCCGGTAGTCTTTTACAGAGAACTATAAAATTGAACGGTCATTTTGAATTTCCCCTCATGGATATGGTTGTATGTAGTCTCAATTCGTACAAAACTTTTGACAATCACTTTTTTGATTTAGAAACTCTTAACTGAATCCTTCTGTTTTAAGTTAATATAACTTGTCAAAGTAATACACTCTTTTCATTCTACTTTACCATGCATTTATGGATTACTAGCAGAGCACCCGTCCTTCGTACGGGGTTGGCATATAAGTATAAAATGCTTATTGCAGTTATACTCAAGCTTTGCGTTTGCAATGGGGGGAGGACACAGTTTGATAAAATTTTTTCATAAATTTACGGTTTGATATAGTATAACACATCTACCATTGCCATAATGTTATACCACTGTACCTAAACAATAGAAAAAAAAATAAATAAATTATCAAACATTCGCACAATATCACAAATTATTCATTAAATTAAAAACTCAAACCTAACTGTAAACAATCTTGCTTTGACAGTTCTCATTGTGTATCACAGCTTTTTGTTGCTGCTTAGCTCAAATTAGCTGTTGTCATATATGCAAAAACAAAATAATAATGGTGCTGCACCCTGTTGGGAAACCTTATAACTTTTTAATGCTATTGCATATTATAGAACCAACTTGTAAAGTTGAAACAGCTGACTAAATTCTTTAATTCCCTTTAAATATGAATACTCATAAGGTTAACATGGGGAACTACATAGCCACTGGGGCGGAGCCCAAAAGGATTTTTGAGATAAAAATATGCCTTAATGTTAATCGGGAATGTGAGCTATCATCATGCCAAATTTCAGCCCAATCCGTCCAGTAGTTTATGCGTGATTGAGCAACACACACACAAACTCACAAACTTTCAGATTTATAATATTAGTAAGATAAGATTACCTCTTTAAATCGACAAATAAATATTTATAAAGATTTTTTTTTTCAAACTATCCAAAAACAACTGAAGTTTTATGAGTCTTAGCTACTTGGACACTCAAAGTGACTGCGAGTAAAATCAGAAATAGATGTTGAAAAGATATCTTTATGTGCTTTAATAACTACCGTAACTCTATTCTAACGCTATTTTTTTTTTTTTTAGATTAGTAAACCAACAGCTTACGTTAGCTCTTCAATAGTCAATGCTCTTAGCCATTGAAATGAATGAAATTAAATGAAATGTGTTTATTTTCCTTTGAATTTTTAGAAATTATTGACAATATCATAGATCAGCTCGAGTTATAGCATAGTCAGTTAATAAAGAAAATATAGCTAACTACACAAAATGAGACATGTTACAATACATTCAAAGTCACAGGAAATTACACTGAGCTTAGTAATTGTATGGATATGAACCTACAACCCTGGGATAGATGTCCTGCACTCTTAACTCAACATTAGCTGCACCCCACCTGTAAATAGATACGTTGACCTCGAGAACTTTTGGAAGTCATGATCTTACATGGTGAAGTAGTAATTATCAGGAATTGTTTGTTTATCAATATGTTGATATTAAAATAGGTAATGTTTTTGTACTTATCATCCAAGATTAGAGATATTCAGAGTGAACTGATAAGATGTTTGCTTAACAAATTTGTGTACAAAGACAGTTCAATGCCTCATTCAAATTTTCTCCTGTCAACATCTGATGTGTAACATAATTTTCAGTCGATAACTAATGGGATCTTTTTTAATTTAATTATACTGTAGTTATAGGACTCCTTGAAACTGAAGAGAAATCAGAGTAAAACTATCGTTTAATCTTATCCTGTGGTACACCTCTTCCGTCTGTGAGAAATTTTCAAGATCTTGTGGTGCATTCGATTACCACATGAATCGCAGAACCTCCAATAAGCGTAATAATAAACAAAACGTTCAATAATCATAGATACTCATTAGCAAGAACCTCTTAACTTAAAGCTTTTATTAAAAAACGCCAGCTGTTACCAGAGTTTTTGAGCTTAAAAAACAAATAATTTAGTTTCTTGAAGGGTAGAAATATCCGTTTTGGGTCCCCCTGAACCCAAAAAAGTGGTTTTTAAGTGATGTCTTTGTGTCTGGATGTGCATGTGAGTATGTGTGTGCAAAAGTTTGACAAAATTTTGTTTGTGGGTACCAATCCATGGTATCACCAGGCGTTGAATCTTTGTATTTTATTTTAATGGTGGTTTTTTTCATTAAATATAATTCATTACATTAGTTAGCCTGCTTCCAGTTTTCTGATTCCGTTTATTACATACTAGCTGTAACCCGCGGGCTTTGCCCCGTTTAACTTCTTAATTTTCAAGATTATCTCGTTCGCATGGCTCAATCACGTCCTGGTTGAAGTTTGTTCGCTACGCTCACTCACCTTTAGGTTGGAGCTCGTTCGCTACGCTCACTCACCTTTAGGTTGGAGCTCGTTCGCTGCGCTCACTTGCCTTCAGGTTAGCTCGTTCGCTACGCTAACTCGCCTCCAGGTTGAAGTTCGTTCGCTACGCTCACTCACCTTTTGGTTGCAAATTAGCTGTTGTCATAAATGTAAAAGAAATAATAGTGCTGCACCCTGTTGGTAATTTTTGTAACTTTAATGCTATTGAACATCACAGAACAGAACCAACTTGTTTAATTGAAACAGCTGTTAAGATTCAATAATTTCATTTCTCATAAGGTTAACATGGGAAACTCCAGAGCCACTGGGGCGGAGCCCCAAAGGATTTTTGAAATAAGAATATGCCTATATGTTAATCGGGAATGTGAGCTATCATCATGCCAAATTTCAGCCCAATCCGACCAGTATTTTTCGCGTTCACTTGTCACAAACATACATCCATACATCCATACATCCATACATCCAAACTTTCTCATTTATAATATTAGTAGGATACTTAAGTTTGTTACTGATGAGTGTTTACCAATAACTCGTTTGTTGAAAGTTATATTTTGTGTGTATCTTCAAAGAAAAACTTGATAAAATTGGACCCAATTGGATCAATGAATAATACGTAGGTTTAGAGGGTAAAAGTCATAGAGTTTTTATTTACAATGGCCCAGTTTCAGTTTACCAATAGTGATACAATATGAACCGCTGAGCGTGCTTGTGTGAACTTGAGTATGTGATAACTGCAGTGGCTGTTCGTTTATTACATGGATTGTGTTTATCAAGCTGTTGGTCGGTTTAATAGTGTCCTTATCAGCTGATAGCACATACAAATCATTAACTTTATCAACCAATGAGTTATCATTTTAAGTGTGACATGACAGATCTTTTGGGCAATGAGCCACTGCCGCAACAGGTGATATTTTCTCATATTTGGTCGAGATTTCACTTAGATTTTTTGTTATGTTTATTTTATTTAAGTTTTCTTTTGATTGGGACACTGGTGCTTAAATTGACAGAAATGTTTTACTAATGTAGGTTCAGTATTTTTTGTCACTAGGGTTTTTGTGATGTGTGTAAATGGGCTTCATTTTGTTTTTTACACTGGGGGAAATTATGATAAAAGGTTACATCACTTGTATCATGTCAGCCAGATTTAACTCTGTACCTTGGCTATGCGCTCAGAAAACATATAGTAGCCAGGCTACCACTCATCCTACATTCATCTCCATTCATACTTGGCTTAAAATACCTACTATGTATGGTCGCCATTTCATTGAACAGTATTAACAGTATACTGACAACATATTATATGGGTGGTTCAGTTTTCCACCACAATACATCCAACTCTCAGAAAGACATCTTTCTTCTTTTACAAAATAAATTCAAAGTGCAAAGCCGTTGCTTCGCCTCTTCGCCCAAATGATACTGATGGGCCAATCCTCCAATCTCATTTAGGAATACCCTTCAATAATCTTTTTGTAATTTCAAAATACTTTTTTCAAATACTAACCTGTGTTTATATATTTTTATGCTTGGCCATAGACATCAGATAACAATCTTGTCATGACGAATTTCAAATAATTAAAATCCAAGTAAAGACAAGAGTGTTGTTTTGGAAGACTGAAAGTAAAACTTTTCTGCTGGCTTCAGCAAAATAAATCGCTATTTTATTTCTTACAACTAAAACACAAATTTTTTGCTTGATTATTAGTATTTAAAAAAATACTATTAGTAATGTAGCTACTGCACTTTATTCAATAAAAGTAATGAAGTTTAACACCCAACTAACCTCAACTAAGAATATTTACTTGTTTCAGGTGTGCTGAATGATCGACAGTTTGAAGCCATCAAGTTCCTCTCCCTACGCTGTCTGCTCCGTGGAACGTTGTTTCTGGATCCCTAAACGGGAGAAGAAGAGGTTTCAACAACGGGGAAACTTCTGGTTGATCACCATCGCGCAGTTGAGCAGACGCTAGACAGAGCGGCGCAGACCATGGCGTGATCCCCTGCGCGAGGTCATGCACATCGGGGAAGAGGGTTTGAACATTTCCAGAAGTATCGTCCTGTTAATGATAGTCGGTCTACCTCATCAGTATTATAAGATGGCTTTTCTCCAGATACCTCATTCTGCCTTGCCGGAGAAGAACAGTAAAGATCCCCCATCGGCCGATCAGCTAGGTTTTCTTTAGGCTAGTGTTAGTATAGGCGTAGTTTCCGAGTTTCTCTCTATCTTTACTACATTGTCGTATTTGTGTGTGAAACGTGTAAAGCTGTTCCCTCCTCGGACTCACCGTGGCATTGATGGAATACTTGTTGATGACTGAAATGATGGATCCCTCGTTCCTGGACGACGAGGCGCCGGGTGTGTGTTGGGGGCAGTGGGCGTCGGAGGGCGACCAGAAGTCGGGCAAACGCAAACAACCGGAGGACAAGACAGAACAGCCTCCAAAGATGCAACGCAGGGAACAATGTGAGTATATTTTGCAGGGTATTACAGTATAACCTCAACAACAAGAGCCTTAATAGCGAGTTACCCTTGATAAGAAGTGTCATATTCAAATACCCTTGATTTTCTATCACCCCTGATCATATCTTATAGGAAACGTCGAAGTAGATGTTGGTCATAACCAGTCCTATATGATAATCCTCAATTGCTATTGTGGTTTTAGTGTACAGTAAAAAAAACCTTGGGAAAATTGGAAAGAGTAGAAATTTGTTTGAATTTGGTAAATTGAGTTGACAGGTTCACTCAGAAATCTACTTAGGGTTAATATAAGTAGGTTTACCCTGTGAGTCTTACACTATTCACAACTGGGTTCGTGCATTAAAAATTTCCCCTACGCAAAAAAAGAAAACAACCTTTATTTTTCTCTATGCTTATTTGAAACAATTTTAATTTGTAGACCTACGGTTTGAAATATTCCAGTCATCTTAATTTTTCCATTAATTTGGTTAACAACGCTTGTCTTTTAAACTTTAAACTGTAGATAAATGTAATTTTCTAAAATAATTTCAGATGGTGACTAATAATAGTTTAATTGAGTTTTGTACTAACTTTGCATTATGAGACTTGTAAAGGCCAGTGTAAACGTTAGCAAAGTTATTAGGTTGTTGATATGGATGGGTCATAAGTCATTGTTCTGATAATGCGCCGCAGACATGAGAAGACCTATTCCATCTTTGACGTTTTCAGGTCTGTTTACTAAACAATATATTCTAAAAGTATTAACATCATAACAACTCTTGGTTTAAGTATCATTGAATTGGCCATACAGATTTCAAGCACTTTATTAGCTTACTGTTTTAAATGTTAGGTTATGTTTGTGTTTGATGAGAATGATACCCTAGCTGATGAACCAAAACAAGGTTAGAAACCACCAATTGAACTGTACAAGAAAAGTTTGTAAATTAAATATATCTATGGGAAATAATTATTTGTAAATAAACGTATAAAAGTTGTACAGCAAGTTTCTATTGTCATTGCATGATAGGGATTGAGCCCTGGACTTTCATACTAGTTAGTTCATTTAATGACTCCTTGATTGTGTTTAGTCAAATTATTCTAAACCCACTAATGTATTATATTTTTATTTGTGTGACAGAAATTGCAACTTTTTATACACTTTAATTTTAGTGGGGATTTTGTTTGTATCAAATTTATTCTTCTATTCTAATTTTTTATAAATTTTTTTCCTAGCTTTTGCAGCAAGCTTTGTTTATGAAATGTTGTAATATTTTTGAGATTTTCCAAATAAATAAATTGAATTGAAAAAAAAAATAACTATACAGCCCAATGTGTAACTGACTGATCAGAAATACAAATGTTTAGCCACTTCTAGAAGAGCTGGAGATTTGACATTTTTGTGGAGGTCCGTCTAGGTCCCAAACTACCCAGAAAATTAAAAAAGCAACATTTTTAAATTACAACCCCACCTAAAAAAGATCCCTTAAATTTCCTATTTTTAATAAAAAACACGTTTTTTTAATACGGCTATAACTCAAAAACGGTGAGAGCAAGAAAATATTTGAAAGAGTTTTCATGGTCAGGAATTAAATTTTCTAAAAGATACTCTTTGGCGTTTTCCAAAAATCGCACTCCTTAAAAAAACGCCCTACTTCCAAAAATTGTAAAATCTCTCAGTTTTTTTTCAAGTTTTTATTTTTTTAAATTAATTTTCGGATATAAATTTGTACTTTTAAAAAATTGCTCCCAACTTTGAAAAAAAGCCAAAAGTGACATTTTTACATTTCAACCCACAAAAAAAAAATTAAATGGCAAATTTTCAAACAAAAAGGTAGTTTTTTAATGCTTTTGGGCGGGTTTTAAACTTATTTCTTATGGAAAATAAGTGTGCAGTGACAAGCAGACTAGAGACTTGATAAAATTATGAAAATAGATTGGCTATGGGCGTTAATCAACAGAAAATTACAGTGACCAATGTCATCTTAATTCCCCCCCCCCCCGCCCCCATATAGAAAATTGGCCTCAGACTGTTTCTAGACATTCTAGATTCTTAAAATTGTTTTTGTGTCCTAAATATTGCCAGATTTATTCCAATTTAAATATTAATAAACTTTATGGCTACACAGATTTGCTATTTCAGGGAAGGTAATTAATAGAGTGAGTGGTCATAGGCATAAATAAATAGAAAAAAATAGATTAACCAATCCCATCTTAAGCCCCCCTCCTTCAAAGTTCCCACTTTTTTAAATTGATGTTAAACTGTTTAGACGTTGAAGTTATTTGGGATTTTTGTAGCAGCGAGGTCAGCCATTCTTCGCACCAATTATGTCAACCCCCCCCCCCCCCAGCCTCTGAGGGGGGCTTAAGACTAACTAAAATATTGTTACCTCCCCCTGACCCCTGAGATTGTATAATTATTGCTATATTAGTCTAACTAAAAATAGTTTTACAATTAATGCCTTAGAGTATTTAAGTATTGGAGCATCAAACTCACATCGGGACTCTAATTTGTCAAGACCTGTTTGATTCCCCGATAAATACTCAACCCCTATATGAAATACTTTGTAACTGCCAAGTTATCATTAATTTTTAACAAATAAAACATTTCCGGTAAACATCCTGACCCCTGAAGCACTTTACCTTGGCACCTCAAATAAAAAGGGGGCCTGGGGAGGGAGCCAAAGGCAAGTAATATATACTTATACTGGATGAATTCTATCCTTGTTTTTACACTTGTTATTTTAAAATTTGAGGTCATCGGCCAAGACGGACTGTGAGAACTAGGCTAGTTGTAAGCCTAAAGAACTCAACAGGCATTTGGCATATTGTCTTCGAGGTGCTTAAAAAACAGTTATTGGCCAAAAGTATGTGTTAGGCTATCTGAGAGGTTTAAATGTAGGAAAATAATTTTATTGTAAAATGTTAAGAATATTTACCTGATATGTATTACATTGTGAAGTATCATTGGCTTTTGAATACTGAAGTAGATTTCCCATTTTTATGGACAAGCGTTAGCTAATTTTCCATTTAGTTAGTTTAGTGTTTAAAAAGACGTAATTGAACTAAGCTCACATCGGGTGTTACTGAACAAATAGGATATCCATCTTTACTTTTTGAAGAAACTAATCTAGTCTAACTTAAATGGCTTACAATAAACTGTCCTTTCAATTTGTTTTTGTTAATAATTGTGTGTATTTGACAAACTACATCAGCATATTTTGCCTTGTCCGTTTTAGCTTTAAGACTGGCTTTTACATGGGAATGTGATATCTATTTTTACATCAATAGTCAAAGGGAGTGTCCACTGTCACTAAGTAGTAGATTTTGATAAAATGCAAATGTTTTTCCCTCCTATGTTCAGTTTGTCACCCTTTAAAATTATTTTATATTCACACCATTGCCTAAAAATAAGTTATGGTATTTGAGGAATAATTGCGGACATTTTCCATCACGATAAGAAACAATTTGTTAAGACGCTTCAGGATATGGAATCTGATCCCGTCCTCAAATGAGAAAATACCTAAAACTTAACAAGATTTGTAAGCAAACCCAGCTTAAGCAGGATAATCACGTGGAATAACCTCACAAAATCTGTATAGTAGGCGGAACAACATGCAAAATACTAAATGGAACAAAAATAGCTGAGAACAAAGGTGGGTACGAACAAAATGGGCACATCTTCACAAGATGGTGGCTGAATGTAGACGGAGCTCACCTGTCTAACCGGTATTGGAGAAAGCGATGATAGTGGGAAACGGAAATTGTGTCCACTGGAGACCTGAAACAATATTAGAAGTCGTAATGGGCGATCTTGTGCCAAAAATGAATTTCTAACAAAGGGCTGGTTTGTTTGTAGACTAACAGTGTGATGTGTTACAGGTGGGGTCAGTAGCAATGGGTGGCAGCAAGTCGATGACCTTCCTGACCCCCTGGTGGTGGACCTTGAGTCATCCTGTGGCCTATCAGGCCTGGCCGTGGACAGCTCTTACTTAAGGTAAAACACTCATTCGTGAAAACATTCTTTCTTTCTTTTCTGGTACATAGTATGTGGGGAAAGTATTGTTTTCGTCAACTTATTTTCCAGTTTGATGATAGGGTGGGAAATATTCGGTTCAGGTCCCCTGAATAAAAAAGTTGTTTTTGAAGTGATGTCTGGGTTTAACCTCACAGCACTACAGACTACATCTGTCGTCTGATTTTGATGGAATTTGGTTTGTTCGTAATAATCCATGGAATCCTCCGGTGTAATTACATTTTTTGAATTTTTGATTTTTAATAGTGATTTTCCCATAAAAATCCTAACGGAAAATCATATTTTTACAAAACGCTTTGAACAATTTTGGTTTAAATTTAGTGTGTTATGGTCCTTTAAACTTTTAACGAAATAGTTTATAACCTCCAATAATATACAAATTACATTTAAAAATTTATTGCACATTTTGTGATTTCCTCTATAAAATATCATATTTACTTGGGTTTCTTGCATTTTATAAGGCTTGTTGACTATCTTATGGGAGGGAGTATGTGTCAAATTGCTAATACCGTTTATTTTTAATTCAGTAACCTGTGATCAATTCCACCACACTGTCACTAAAACCAATCAAAAACTCATAAGCACGTTAAAACTTCTTGAGCCTCTTTGTCAAGTTGGGCAGTTCACAACTTTGTTCGTCCTTGTCATCATGGAATACTGTTTCTTTTGTCTTTTATTTCTTTTCCTGTTATTTTTGCCTCCTATTGTCCCCAACCAACTGATTCTTACACATTGCACAATATAAACTTTCTTTGCTGAAAAAAAGTTTTCTAATAGGACTACTGATTACAGTGCTATGACTAAGCTTTCATGTCGAGACAGATAGTTTTTATGTTACCTTCGTTATAATGTATAACGTGCAGTCGTAGGAATTTTTTACTTAGAGGTAAAATTTGCTATACATACAAGGCCTAGTAAAAAAAGTATGCGACCTAGTCCAGGATTAACTTATTGATCAATTTGTTTTAACATGTCATCTCCTTCAAAATAGTCCCCTTGGGACTTCACACGCCTATACCAGCACTCCGGCCACTTTTGTAAACATGGAACTCTTCCTTCTTAATGGACTTCAGACGAGCTGTCATTATCTCATTTCTGCTCTGAAATCGGGTCCCTTTAAGCGGCATCTTGAAGGTAGGGAACAGCCGAAGTCACAAGGTGCCATATCCGGTGAGTAGGGGGCCTGGTTAGCATTCTGAATTTATTCCAGCATGACTTGAGCAACTTAAAGCTGCAATTCTTTTGGTTCATCAGTCAAGTTCTTTAGGACAAATTTTTCAGCAACTCTGCCGATAGCAAAATTTCCCCCGTTAAAATTGAATCAACTCAACCAATACTGATTCCAACTTCAGCTAGTTCACGAACAATAATACGTCGAACCTCCATCACTAAAACGCAAACTTGATCGATAACTTCATTGTCTCGACTTGCTGATGGTCTCCCAGAACAAGGTTCACTGTCCACCAAAGTGCGGCCATCATTGAATCTTTTGTACCACTCTTTTATCTGTGTTACACCCGTAGTGTCTTCTCCAAAGGCTTGCTGAATCTTGAGAATCGTTTGAGCTTGGGTATAACCCAGATTTTGGCTAAATTTAATCCTGTATCGCTGTTCCACCCGTTCCGTCATTTTTCTTAACACAAAAACACACAGTTTCACGTTTTGCGGCCACCAACGAACTGACGCCATGTCATGGTCACGTGACGTGCTTTACAGTTGCCTCGAGCTACACGCCAGGGTGCAGCCAAAGCCCCACTTGAAAAACAGGCCATGCTCAGCGCGGGCAGGGCAACACTACGTCACAGTGGTGGATAGTTGTACTAAAATTTTACCATTAAAATCTGACAAACCTAAAACATATGGGATATTGCAGTGAATATATCAACAAATCCATCCACTAGTGTGACTTCATTGATCCTGCAGCATGGCCTGTTAAATAAAATAAAAAGTTAGGTCAGATACTTTTTGAACAGACCTTGTGTATAGGATCCAACCACAACAAATTAGCTAAACCGAAGTTGATTTATTTTTGCTGAGATAAAATAAATTTGTGGTATTGAGGTTTTGAATACTTAGTTATTTAGGGGCAAAAATGTCATTGATTCTTGTAGAGAGTTCTAGGGAATCTTGTCATTGGCATCTTTATTGTTGTGTGGCGTCCCCATCTCAATTATTGATAATTGATACTGTCACTTAGAAGTACAGGTACAGAGGAAACTTGCTTATAGAACGACTTTTAGCTCTTGTGTTGTGCTGAAAATACAGGGTGTTTATAAAAAAACTTTACAACTTTAAACAATCATAAAACCTTTATTTTTTCACTTACAGCTATGAAACAAAAATTAAAATTTAGGAAATTTTCTCAAGTTTTATTTACATGATAAGAAGTTTACCTAACTTCAATGTGTTTCCCGTTGTTTGCTCGCAAAAAATCAAGTCGACATTCCAGTTCTGACCAAACACGACGCAAAATTGAATGATCTATTTCATCAAACGCTCTCCTGATCCTTTCTCTTAGTTCTTCTTTGTTGTCCACTTTACTAGCGTAGACACGATTCTTAACAAAACCCCAAACAAAAAAGTCACATGGAGTTATATCTGGTGACCTAGGAGGCCAAAGTGTTGGCCCACCACGGCCAATCCAACGATTTGGGAATTTTTGATCCAAACAATCCCGAACAAACCTCTTCCAGTGCGGGGGAGCACCGTCCTGTTGAAAAATTACATTTGGCTGTAATTCTTCTAGTTGGGAAAAGCAAAATTCTCCAACATATCAATGTAAATGTTTCCATTTATGTTGTTTTCTTGGAAGAAAAAAGGACCTATCACCCTATCATGAAACAATCCACACCAAACATTAATTTTTTCACTGTCCCTGGTGTGCTCTTGATAACAATGGGGGTTCTCGGTTCCCCATATTCTAACATTTTGCTTGTTGACTTTACCTGATAAATGAAAGGTAGCCTCGTCTGAAAAAAAAATTCTTCTCAAATAATTTTCATCTTCCGCCAACCGATCTAGCACAGTCACAGCAAATTCTTTTCGGAGAATCCAGTCATTCGGCGTGATCTTTTGCAAAATTTGAAGTTTGTATGAACGAAATTTCAATGATTTAAGGATTTTGTGTACAGTAGAATGTTTTATATTCAAATCACGTGCCGCAGATCTGGTGGATTTTTTCGGGTCGTTCACAAATGATTGTTGAACACGCCGCACATCTTCATCGCTTACACGGGGTCGACCGTTTCCTCTCTTGTGATTCAAACTGCCAGTGTTCAAGCCCTAATTGTGGGTCTTGAAGGAGGATTCCTATTATATCTTGTCCGAAATCTCCGTTGAACAACAACATCAGATTTCGTTTCAATGAACCACTCCACACACTGCGCTTTGATTCGTGCTTCCATTGCGATGCTAATGAGACTTTTCAATTATTTGTTTTTGTTTACCAAACAACAATGTAAGGCCATCAGCTGATTGAACTGCCAGCTGATTAAAACTTTTTGAGCAGCCCTTTCATGTGGTGTCAATAGGAAACGTTTATGTCCCATGGATCATGAATGGGAGAATGTTAAAGTTGTAAAGTTTTTTTATAAACACCATGTATACTTTTGACGACTGACGAGCAAGGAAGAGCCCGAGCGGTGTGCACTGTGCAGAAATTCCTATCGCACAGGGCATTGGGACTTTCTCCACCGTGAGCGTTATAGTAAAGCAAAGCAAAGAGCCCGGTGTTGGACTGCGCTAGACACTAGCGACTAGTGGAAGACACCACATAGGTGTAACATATAATGTTTCCTCTGTACCTTATATATAAAATAGTCTAAAAAAGGGGGAAAATAGTCTGATTACTCTAAAAGGATTTTTATACTTCTGATCCGATACATATATATATATATATACTCAATTTTATCTAAACTTATTTATCAATTTAAGTCATTACAGTTTTTAAAAGATTGAACATCCTAATGTTTTACAGTCCTTCTGGCATGGCTAAATGTTTACAAACTTTTCCTTTGTTTAATTTCATCAAACTACTGTAGTAGAGCTACAAGGACTTATAGCCCATCTAATCATTGAACCCATTTAAACTCAAGGTCAAACACAATAAGTTTGTTTGGACATCCGTGTTACAAAGTATTGCCTTGCTTCCAACCATTTCAGTACATTGGAACCTCGATGACAAGACAACCGCAGTAACAATTATTGTCGATTTTAATTAACCTTGATTTTATATTACCCCAATCACTTGTTATTGCAATTCCCATGAGAGATTTGTTATTGAGGTTTTACTGTAGAATCAGTATAAAGGATTATATTTAAAAATTTTATAATTCCTAATACTCCAGATAAATATGATAGTAATTAATTTCCGGTATAAAAACGATTAAAACTTTAATTTTGAATCAGTAGTTACATTCCCCCATTACGTTATTGTAATTTTTTAAATATTTACCATTCAAATATGTATTTTGCTACAATGTACAAAAATAGTGCTCCTCTTAGCACCAAATTTAATATTTACCCTGGCCAGAAAAGTAAAATATTTATGGATTTCAAAGAGGAGGAATTTATTCATAATAAATTATGAACCCAGTATAGCCATAGTTTCCTCTACCAATATGAGTTTAAATATTTTATTTTTGGCTATTAAAAAATAAAGAATTAGTTCTGATTCTATGAACTATTGAATGTATGTGGGCTTGATAATAATTAATTATAGCCATTTAAAATTTATATTGAAATAACCCCTAGCAAACCTGCTGACTAAGCGAATTTTCCTTTTGCCTAATTGGATCTTTACTCAAATATTTTTAGTCTTGGACAAATAATGTACATATTAAATGGTGAAAATATGAAATTTCTATGTTTTAAGGGTAAAAAAAACCACACAAAAATTATGGAATTATTATACACCCTGTTTTAATTGCCTAATCTTGCTGGTTGGCAAAATTATAAACGTTACTTAATCCATTTCTACACTTTTATATAAAGTTTCATCATAATCAGACCACAATTGCTCGAGTTATCGCGATCACAGAAACACACACACACACACACATATATATATTTGTGAGATGGTAACCTTGTTACTGAATAAAATCTGTTTAATCGGCTAGGTCCAATTAATAAAAGCAGAATGCTCAACGATTGTTGGGTCTAGTTTCAATCCATCAACGGGCTACTTGAAAATCGTGCGGGGGAAGCGAGATGCTACGTAGTTCACAGCTAGCAACTCATTAAAATTAATTCTACCTAATATCTCCTAAAACTAATTTCTCATTCTTCTATGCAGAACTTTTTTAAATCTTTAGTAGATCTTGGTGGCTACTAACTATCCAACTCCATAACATATTTTTAATTTTCTGTTTAGCGATGTACTTTCTCTCCCGTCGTTGACGGTATTCAAGCAGGAACTTCCATCGCCTTCCAATCATCATGATCGCGGGTAAGCACTTCACAATTTCCTAAGCACTTCACTAAATTACTATTGCCTGCTCCCAATATTAGCTATGTTTGCGTCTTGTTCAATTCTTGCATCATGCTTCTATTTTGTTGTTTTTCAATGACTTCTCCTTCTTGATGTTGTGTAGAATGTATTTAATTTTTTTATTTGCTTGCGGCTAAGGTTAAATCTATTTTTCTTTATTTTTTCTCCTCGAAATTTGTCAAAGAATTTTAGTAAGTTAGCCAGATCTTCAGACGTATTTGGGTTTTTACCATTGCGACTATGGTTTTTTGAACGTCAGTGACAAAGAATCACATCTCTATTACAAATGTTAAATAGTGTAAAATTAGATATTATTATTATTATTATCACCAGTTAAAAATTATGGTTCGTTGTAATTTCTAACATACCTGCTATTTGCCCGATCTTCGTTCAGGTAAACTTATGAATAAAATATATTTATCACCTGCGAAACATTGCTGTAAAAATTGGGAATTATCATCAGATGAAGGAAATAAACTACCAATTACATGACATACTTATCCTCCCACTTTGAAAGTAGGCATGAAGCCGCTTTCAAAAATGTTTTCTCCCTAAATGAGTTTACTTTGTAAACACTATTGTATTTCCTTGATTTGTTGAAAAGATTCACTCTCAGAGTGGTCACTGACAAAATGGCCATGAAAGGATTCGGGCTACTTATCAAGACGAAGGCACTTTTTCTGCTGCTACATCATAACCACTTTGCTTCACCTTTCCATTTAAATGCATTCATTGATCACAAACATTGAACATATGGACACTTTAGCCAAACAGTTACATTGAAATAAATTCACAGGTTGTCCCGTATGTTGAAGTCTTAAGCACTTGCAATCATTAATAGTGACACAGTTGTATACAATATCACTGTGAGTCAAGGCCACACTAAAAAAACAGGCCGTAATGCTCGCCAAGCATGACGTCACGATAGAAGACAGCTATGCCGTATAAGTACTTATTTATTTATTTTCCAATGAAAGATTAAAACAAGCAGCTGATCACAAACGGCAAAATTACGTCATTGCCGTCTTCTATCGTGACGTCATGCTGGACGAGCATTACGGCCTGTTTTTTTAGTGTGGCCTTGTGTGAGTCCATAATCTCAATCTTTCAAAGTTGTTCAAAACATGGTCAACAACTCTTTGTGTGTCGTCCTTGCTACATTGTTGATGGATCAAATATCGGATAGCATGAAAAAAGCATGAACCCATTTCCAAATGAGAAAGCGTCCAAACGCTGCCAAAAAGGTGTGGAGTTACTTTTTCCTTTAAGTAAAAATTCAAGATCCACATTTTTGTGAAAGAAAGAAAAATAAATAAACTACACACATTAAAATAAACAAATTTAAAGTACCTATTTGTCAAAAAAACTGTAGAAAAAATAAACAAAACCTAAGCCAGTTTCAAATACTGTAGAAGTAATAAAGAGCACAGTAGCCAGGCACACAACATTTAGGAAGGTCATTGTTTTCCAAAACAGGTTGACCTAAAAATATCTCAATTTTGATAAAAAAAACAAAAACAAACAATTAAAAACAGATGGTGTAAAAAAAAATTTCTAAAAAGGTTTTTGATAAACAAATTGCTAAAATTAATTGCATGTCCATAAAAATAGCATTGGAACTATAAGGGCTTCTAGGGCGCTGCTCTTTGTTAAAATCAATCATATAATCACAATAAAACAAAATAAAAAAATACTTTTTGTGAAACCTAATTATATGCTTTGCAATTTTATCTAAGTTTATATATATATATTTTTATTTTGTGCAATAGCACTAAGACTGTTTCACTGGAAGTGTATGTTTGTTTTTTCCTCTGTACTTTTTTGTAAATAAAGTTTATTTTGATTTGATGTTGTGGGAGCATAAGTACTTGAATTAATTTTCATGAATTAATGTTACAGGGCCTCGGCTTGTTCCCCGGACAGTGGCAACAGTCCTCTAGGTGCAGACGGGGGCCACAGTCCCGTCCCCCACCCCCATCAGCTTGTCTCATCAGGTACAGTGGCTAAACAAATTGCATAATTTGAAAACTCTTAAATTAGTTTCATGATGGGGTATTACAGTCTTCAGATTATTGATAAATATTGAGACTGCTATACACCCTTGGATTGTAAACAGCAACACAGAGAAGTAAGGTACAGAGTAAACACCCTTATGGGACCATGCGCTGTCAGCTCCAGTATGTTGTGTAGGAAATATACTTGTGTCGAACAAGGAAGAGACTGAGCAATTCCTATCACACAAGGCACAGGGACTTCCTTCATGAAGTGAGTGTTGAGGGTGAGGGGGCAGGGTTGGACTTTGCCCTAGACACCAGCGATAGTGCTAGATACCACTTAAGTGTACCATTGAATGTTACCTCTTTACCTTGCTTCTCTGTGGTAACAACTAGTTTTGGCCCTAGAGCCATCTTCAGGTAGACCAAGCCGAGGTTGGTTAACTGAAAATGATGGTTTAACGGGGAACAACTGTAAACATAAACTAAATCCTTAAAGACTTGATTTTATTTTAACAGTGCTGTAAAAGAATGGGAATTAATGTCCATAGATTCCTTGAAAAAGTCAGTTTAACCATCCAGTTGTAAAATTTTCTGCAGAAACCAACATCTTTGCTCCGGTAGAGCTGGTTAATCCAGAGGCTGATCCAGAACACAAAAAGTTTACTATCAATAAAAAGTGAGCTGATCTAGTGGTAGAGCGCGGTACTTCAGAGCCTGAGGTCCCAAGTTAAATCCCGCTAATCAATAAATTTAAAAAAATCTTAAATGCATTTTAACTATGTGATGATTCCCCAACCCTCTAGGACTAGCCTGAAGTAGCAACTCAATAGCACAATATGGAATTGAATTTTGGGGATTTTCCTCTGAAATTGAAAGAGTTTTTAAAATTCAAAAGAAAATTATAAGAATCATGACCTTTTTACCATGGAAATCTTCATGCAAGACAGTTTTTAGAAAATTGAATATTATGACCATTCCAAATTTAATGATTTACAAAACATTGTTAGCGGTGCAGTCAAATTTTGATGACTATATTAGTGAAAACTTTGACCACATTTATAACACCAGATTTAAGAATAATTTTCAATACCCGAGACACCGTTTGAAGCTTGTAGAAAAAACTCCAAATATATGGGGAAAAAGCTTTTTAATAACCTACCCACAACTCTAAAAACTTTAATTCATATCATAATAAATCTTTTAAAAGCAGCCTTGCTGATTTTCTGACTAGTAAAACATATTACAGTGTAAATGAATACCTAAACGAAACCAATGAAACAATATAACGTTTATTTTGTATAAAGTTTCTTATATGTCTTATTCTTACTATTCAAAGAAATTCATTTTTTAATTTTATCATTCAGCAAATTTTTACATCTTGTTTAAGGTTATTTTAGTGCATAAGACATATTGTTGTATATTTTAGGTTAGTTTTTAATCTTGACAATGTCATCTATTTTTTAGCTATGCTAAGATTTAAAACGTTATGTGACAATACAGAATTATTTATTTATTTAAGTAATGTGTAAAAACAGTTCCACACTAGAACCTAGCGTCCTAGGTTGTAAAGGTAGGACTAAAAAAACTATTAAAATAAATTATTGATTATTAGTGTTTGTGTTGCAGCCAATAACCCTGAAGGTGAAACTGAGAACTATCGTAACAACAAGCTGTTAGTGACCTCCGAGCCGGCTACCTCTACTGGCTCCCCTCCACTGGACGTTACAGAGGACTGTCGGTGAGCAATTAAAATTAGGGAATCCAGTAATCTAAATCCCAAGATCCCTGATAAATTTACACCTCTGATAGTCCTGTGATTGTAAAATCCCAATCCTGAGGCACTGGGAGTGTGCAGTGTTAAGTCTTTGGCGTGTGAGTTTTGCGGTAATTTAAAAAATATGGTGGTTTCAAGGAATAGTTGTTTTTGATCATGACTAAATTGTGATTACTTACTGCATTCACACTAACATCATAATCCCAAATGTGTGTCACTACCACCATTGACTTTATTTGTGTCTAAGGTTTGCTAAACTACGTGTTGCTGTGATGCAATGCCGCCACAATACGTTTGTATCTGGTCCATGTTCATTAATCCTTATCAATCTTAAGAACTATACAAATATCTCCTTAAAAACCACAATAAACCTGTGAATTTAATTTTGAAAGTCGGGTATTGAGAAATATCTCATTTTTGTGTGGAAAACACCCACGGATTGAGTGGACCATTGTCCATTGATACCTTTTTGGTTTAACCTTGTATATTTTCCGCAGGTTTCAATATGTACTGGCTGCAGCAACCTCGATCGCAACCAAAGTGAATGAAGAGACGCTGACGTACCTCAACCAGGGACAGTCATACGAGATCAAATTGAAGAAGTTGGGGGACCTGACTGTCTACCGCGGAAAGATACTCAAGGTAACAGGTCTATTTGTGTGCTTTAGAATAAGGGTACAAGGATTTTTGATAGGATGAGGCTTACCAGTGGCAAAGAGTCCATTCTTGCACAAGTAAAGTAAAATAGGAACACAAGATTATAACGGGTGTTGCTGCAATATCACTAGACAATCTTGGATATTTCCACGACCATGGGAAATGATCAAGTTTTTGCGGTGATTGCCGGAGACAATATAAGGGTTTTTGTGATCGTGGAAACAATATATGGACATTCAGTGGCATCTCCAAAGAGGGAGCTACAGAGAATAAAACTCCCCCATTGGACCCTGGAAAATTCATTTAAACATACATTTTGTCTTAAAACGTAACAGAGGGTTTTGGACACAGTTCTAGACGTTTAGAAAGTCACCAAACAGCTTTAAAATTTTCCATGGCGAGGACCCCTGGACCCCCCTCCTGTCTAGGGAAACTAGGGATGGTCAAGTCTCGAAATTTCGGGAAATTTTCGGGAAATTTTAAATCTCGTTACACGAGACGAGATTTCTTTTTGGCCAAGATTTTTATCGAGACGAGAATTAAAAAAAAAAAATAAAAACGCCTGCAGAAAGTCAATGCAATACCCGCAATACAGGAGCGTGTTGTAGTTGCGTTTCCTTTGCGAAGGCGTTCTTATTTAATTAATTCTTCAAATGTAAATATTACTTTAATTATTTTAATAACATTTGAGAAGTTTTGTTAAGTGTTAGCAGTGTGAGGAATGTTTTATTACTATAAAAAAAGTCAAAACAAGTAACTATTTTATAAAAATTAATATTTTATTTTATGATTTATTTTATTTTAGGATAAGTTGAACTCTATCCTAACTGATATCACTATGTTTCCTAATCGTAGGCATTTTTAATAAGTTAGGCGTGATTAATAAAAAAATGTTATGCTGATGTTTTTTAATAAAAGATTGTAAATATTCTTGCCTATTATCATTATTTTTGTATTTAATCAGTCATCTAACAATGTTACAAAATCAGGTAAAAATTCCGAACGTGCATTTCCCGTTGTGTATGAGAAGGGAAATCCCGTCTCGATCTCGTCTCGAAATTTTATGAGAAATAAAAAATCTCGTCTCGTCTCGTCTCGAACTAAAAATCCAATCTCGTCCATCCCTAAGGGAAACTCCATACCTCCCAGTAGCCCCTCCTTGACAATGTCCTAGAACCGCCACTGTGGATATTTACATTTCCGGGAACCTGTTCCCAACAAATTTGGATTAAGAGGACTGTGTTAGGCCTACAAAAACCTGAACTCTTTCATTTTTAATTTTTCACTTTGTGACTGTATCCTGTTTACTACTTTTTTATTTTTAGCTTTTAATATATATTTTTTCTCAACTGCTCCTTGATAGCACATTTAGGCTAACCATACAATTTGAAAGTTTATTCTGTCTATGTTTCTTTTTAATCATACTTTTTATTTGGTTGACAGAGTGTTGTCAAATTATGTTTCCACGAGCGTCGACTTCAGTTTATGGAACAAGAGCAGATTGCGGCTTGGCGCGCTTCACGACCTGGGGATAGGATTGTTGAGGTATGTGATCTGAGAATGTTTATGCTTTGTACTTTGTAATTCAGTTAGATTATAATCATTTATTTAAACACATATCACAGTTATCAGCCGGTTCAATTTACTGTGGAACACGAATCTTAAACCTTCCAAATGATGTTGTAGTAATGCATTTAAAATGAAACCAAGCCTTAATATCCAATGTTTCAAGCCAATTTTTTGTGTGTAATTTATTCCTCTAGGTTTTATCCTAGAATTGTTTTCCACGTTACTTCAGGCTAGATCTAGAGGGGGTTGGGGCATTATCATTTCGATAAAATCCATTGGTGATTGGTGGGACTTTGGGGACCGAAGTCCCGCACTCTACCACAAGATCAGCTCGCTCCCCGCAATCATGGAAACACCTTTAATTATAGAGATTACATGTTCTATAATCAGCGATAATACCATAACAGTTAAAAGTAACTTAAAAGAACTACAGCTCGTGACATCTAAGCTGGCACTTGCCCGATCGCTACTAGTACCTATTTTAAAAACATTAGGTCCCGTCATGCGGGTTGCATCAACTGTCCTCGCGACCCATATGAAGGCGCTCAAGTACATAATACAAGGGAAGTCAACCCTGTGAGGCAGCGGAAATGTTTGCAGTACGGTCTTTTCCCTACCTCCATTCTCCTCCCGCCTACACTGCCCGCGCTAGGCCAAGTGCCAGCTTAGGTGTCACGAGCTGTACCTGTTTCTAACTAAGGTCATATGCCTTTGCAAAGCATATTTAGAGCTACAAATTTGACATGAATTTAATTTACTCAAGTTTTTAGTATATCTAAAGAAGTAATATTTAATGGAAAATTAATTCTCAAGAATTAATGCCCCTCGATTAGATGCACTATAATGCATTAACTGTCATAAATATGTTAACATTTAACATGTTAAGTCCAGCTTAAATAATGTTCAATAAGACCACAACAGTTACTGTTAAAAAATCACAAAAATAAACAGAATATTATAGAGGGATGGACGGGATTGAATTTTTAGTTCGGGACGGGACGGGATGGGATTTTTATTTCCTTCCCGATTTTCGGGACGGGACGGGACGGGATTTTTTTCTGTGCCTAAAAAGAAAGTACTGTATTGCAGTTACCGAAAAAAGACATACAAAATCAATTTTTACCATTTGTGGCACTGATCTATAAAAACCAAAAAATGGGTAACAATTTACAGGTACCCATAGTAACTTGTGACTCGCGGGTCACGGGGTGATCGTCTGTATGACTCACGGTCACGGCGAGATCGTCGTCATGACTAGCGGTCACGGCGCGATCGTCGGTATGATTCGCGAACACGGCTCGATCGTCAGCATGACTCCGCGGTCACGGCGCGATCGTCGTCATGACTCGCGGTCACGGCGCGATTGTCGTAATGACTCGCGGTCACGGCTCGATCGTCGGTATAACTCGCGGTGACAGCGCGATCGTCGGTATGACTCGCGGTCACGGCGCGATCGTCGGTATGACTCGCGATCACGGCTCGATCGTCAGCATGACTCCGCGGTCACGGCGCGATCGTCGTCATGACTCGCGGTCACGGCATGATCGACGGTATGACTTGTGGTCACGGCGCGATCGTCGGTATGACTCGCGATCACGGCTCGATCGTCGGTATGACTCGCGATCACGGCTCGATCGTCAGCATGACTCCGCGGTCACGGCGCGATCGTCGTCATGACTCGCGGTCACGGCGCGATCGTCGGTATGACTCGCGGTCACGGCGCGATCGTCGATAGGACTCCGCGGTCACGGCGCGATCGTCGGTAGGACTCCGCGGTCACGGCGCGATCGTCGGTATGACTTCGTCTCCTGCGTTCGCGGACCTATCGCTCGCAATAACGGCGTTATCGGCACTCGCGAAGCGGAAAAATCGCCGACGATCGGACCAAATCCCGTCCCGAAAAATTCCCGAGTCAAATGTAATCCCGTCCCGATAATCGGGAATATTTTTTTCCCGAAAAATTCCCGAAATTTCGGGACCCGTCCATCCCTAATGTATAGTTTATGATGTCTTATATTTGAAATCTTAGGTCTTACTGCAATGTTTGGTAAGCAACATTTATACACATCAATACTCAATGGATCCAAGATATAATCGGATTGTCTATGGTTTTTTCAGGTTGACCTCCCGTTGTCTTATGGCATGTATGACCTGATCCAGGACCCCGCCATGCTGAACACTGTGGAGTTTTTGTGGGACCCTACCAAGGAAGTTGGCGTCTACATCAAGGTCAGTTGAATCTCGTGGATCTAAAAAAGTTTAACGCTGCATTCTAACTTATAAAAGGGAATTCCGAGCACTTACCTCAACTGCAGAATGTTAAAACTGTGAATGAGACATGAATTTTGTGAACTGCGTTGAAACGTGGAATAAAATATAATTTTTTTTGTTGAACCTTATAAATAGGGTGGACCGATCCAGATTCCAGTAATTGAATAATACCAATAATTAATATAAATTTCTCAAAACGTTCTTGAAACTAGTGACTTAATTCAGTAAACGTTCAAGAATCCCTTGCAATTGTGTAGACATTCTCCACCACTCCTGAATACTCTGACAGAAATCAGAAATAAAAGTGTTGTGGAGTTTCATATCTTTAAAATTAGTGTTTTAATATTCAACTAGTGTACATGTTGCTCGAATTCGAGCAATTACACAGCATTACAGGAGTTATTTCAGATTGAATAACAGTCATATTTACAATGAGTTTAAAAGAGTCAACTCAAATATTACCGTTGTGTAACTCAGACCCTGTTTATCTTCGTTATTGATAAACCTAAAGAATTCCAGCCGGTTTTCTCCTTCTCAAAATGCCTCGCTGTACAGGCAACACAGGTCATTAATAGAGGGCCAATTGAGAACGAAAAGTCATTTTGGGGTAGTGCTAGGGCGCATTTGTAACCAAATAGTTGAAGTTGTCCAGGTTCAGGTTCAGACTGTGATGAGTTAAGCCTATTACGCGCCACTGTTCTGTAGCTGCGGTCGTTATCACGATTGCGCCTCCTGTCTATGTTTCGTTGTCGTTGCGTCGGAGACATTTAAAAGAAATAAACAACAAATAATAAACAAATTATAGCTACACAAAACAACGATAAATGCACAAATTTAAGTTACAATCATGCTAACACAATCCATCATAGCGACACAAAACGACGATAAATACACAAATTTAAGATACAACCATACTAACACGATCCGTCTTTGGGGTTATGTTTACACAAACTCAAATAGTAAATAAATGTACTGAATGTGTTTCATTGAATTGAAAAGTAAATAACAGCAATAAAATTATACAGCTGATCAAAATGTAAACAATTATGTTCTTCATAAGGATAACATGGGAACTTTCAAAGCCACTGGGGCAGAGCCTAAGGGACTTTTTCAAAAATGTAAGGTCAGTTTGCAAATCTACGCGACACGCTCTTTCCAATGAGACGTTAATGGATAAAATCGGTTAAGAAATGGCGGAGGAGTTCAACCGACAAACTTTCGTGTAGCGTATTAATTATATAGATGGGACAATGTTGAGGTATTGCTGCTTGCCTTTTTGCACTACTCCATTTGTATCTGAGTTCTGCTAAAAAGTGACGCTATAAAAGCGAGATTCTGTCTGTGCCTGGTCTAATTTCCCTGACCCAATAATTTTACAAATATGCAAGTTACTGTAACTGAATGCAAAGGTTATATTCTAGTTGTGCCTTTTTTTTACCAGGTCAACTGTATTAGCACAGAGTTCACCCCTAAGAAGCACGGGGGTGAGAAGGGGGTTCCGTTCCGTATACAGGTGGAGACCTATCTACAACATGAGAAGATGTGTCGTCACCTCCACTCTGCGTCTTGTCAGATAAAAGTCTTCAAGGTAATCTCACACTTTTGACCTTGTTAGCTAAGTATAACGTACAATAGAGCGTTAACTATCTAAAGCCTAAAACCTAGGCTAAACAACAAAGAAACAAAGAATCTAGGTTGAATTGCAAGGAAATCGTAAGTTAATTCAAGTTATATGCCTCGTGGAGATAATACAAATATTATGTTCAGCGAGTGACCACTGCACAGGTATTGCCTTAGTTTAAACTCTCATCCTCATGGTTCCTCCAATCCTCATAGTTATGTCACGGTGTGTACCGGTCACAGAAATCACTGAGTAACGAAAAAGTCACTGGTTTTACTCGTGGGTCACGGCTGTTACTGGAAAGGAACGGATTTCCAATATTTAATGTCCCAAAAGTCACCGGAAAATTCGGGCAAAAAAAAATAAAGTTCCCCAGACTGACTATCTTTTGTTTTGCACTATGCTTGCTGCAGATAATTATTTAATTCATAATGCAGAATCAATGAGAGCAAACATATTTTGGGAGTACGCCACAAGCACAAATTGTTATGGCACAAAATATTGTATGCTCTACTATCTCATGTTAAACTCACGATTCGAAATGTTGTGCGTTTAACGTCATCACCATCCCAAAAGTCAGTGAAATTTAGTTTGATCAAGTGGTAGAAAATCTGCAACATATATAACTAGGGGACAAGTTATTGTTTATGATGAGATCGTATTATTTGCTTAAACGAGGTTTTAAATGACTGTAATAACGAGAAACAAATTGTAAACAAAACACGACCTCTACATAAACCGTACAGAACTATCAATAAAATTGTCTTAAGCTGTTCCATAAGGATGAGAAATCTACTAAGGGAATATGTTTTATCTATATAACTTAGTTGCCCATGGATATTTGCCAGTAACAGTACACGATTCTGTTGTGTTTGATTCAAAATGACTTATGTTAAACTGCTTATGATAAACTCAATATTGGGGCTGTTAAAAAGGTGATAGATAATTGAGTTTAAGCTTTTGAATACATAGTTTATATCTGACATAAAAAAAAACAAAAAAACAGGGATATATAAAGAAACTTGTTTGTTTGCTCTACTGTAAAGATGGACTCTGCCACCCCACCCAAAGTCCACCGATCAAGTCCGAAGTCTGCCAATTGTACCTGACGAGAATATCCTTCCTCTCATCACCATCTCCTGTATGTCCTAGGAGATCCTTTGTTGTATTATTTACTTATACTTTCCAATAGGTTTATCAATCTTTATTTGTCAAAAACTAATTTACTTGTACAAAATCAGTTAATTTAACCTCACTTCTTGTGTTGCAGCTGAAGGGCGCCGACCGCAAACATAAGCAAGACAGAGACAAGCTGCTCAAGCGACCAGAGTGTGAGAGAGAGAAGTACCAGCCTTCGTACGACTGTACTGTCCTCAGCGACGTAAGTTCTGCTTGTCATTTGTAAAAAAACTTATAACACCAAGGCGCTAAATGTTTACAAAACATATCACTGTTCGTTTATCTCCCTAACAGCCGCATATTTTTATACTTAAAATATGATTTTGATTTATATAGTTTTTTTGGTGAGGAAAATGCTTATTTATATGCCCCTCCTATGCACTACCAGTTTTACCCTCCCTAAATGTAGCCTGATGGCATTGTTAACATATTTAACAAATATGTTATGATGGCATTGGCATTGTTGTCTCATTTAACCATCTGTGGCCTATACTGTCTAGAGACTTGATTAAAAGCTTGCTATATTGTCCTTGATGGTTGTTTTTCTCAGGGCGGATTAGTTATTCAATATAGGTTTAGCAAGGGTTTTTTCCCTAGGATAATTTTTTGACCGATTCTTCTCAACTACAAGCTAGCACACTTACTAAATCATTCCAAGATAAACTTGCCTACAGGCAAGATGAATAATGAAAGTGTATCTGCAAAAAATATGAATTTTCATCCAAACTCCCCTTCAATATGGCTTTAGTAATTTTTAGTTAGGTTACTGTTAGGAACATTCTAATGGTAGAGATTATCTTTGTTCCTAACACTTGTGAAGAATGTATCTGTCAGTAAAGAATATCCTGCTATGTTCCAGGTGCCGATCACAAACGAGTGTGTGTTCAGTTCCCCGCTCCATCTCTCTCCTGAGCCCAAGTAAGTGGAACGCTTATTAAGAGTTTGACTAAGAGGATTGTCCAGAACGTAACACGACAATAAACACTCAATGCACCATGCTTCGTATACTTTTTCTAATGTTAATGTGAGGTGTGTTCAGAAAGTAAGGAACGTTTCCAGGGCCGGTTTAACACATACGCGAACTACGCGGCCGCATATGGCGTCACGAAAAAGTGGCGCCGTGGCACCAACAGAACAATTTTTTTTTATGTGAACAACGTAATTTTGTTTATTTTTGCTCAGAGTTCAAGTATTCAAAGCCCCACAATAAAGGCATTTATTCTGTTTGTACCAACAGCACTTGAAAAATGTGTATATTTGTACAGCACTACAACTCAAGGACTCAATGCCATCTGCAGTTTCGATTTGTAGTGAGCTGACGCTTGGCAGTCGGCAGCGTACAGCGCGGCGCCTGTGGGTTTCATTTCACGACTCACTCATGCTCGAGAAGCGCGCAGCGCCACTTGTCACAACAAGAAACTTCTCCCTCCCTTCCCTCCCTTCTGCCTCTGATCCTAGAGCAGAGCATTACGTTGTATTGCACTCTTTTAGTTGTCTACGACCTACGTATACCGTATCGGTATTGTATATGGTATTGTTTTGATGATTCATGATTGTTGATAAGTGAATGATTACGAGTGTTTTAAGTTTAATTTATAATTAGCGCATTAAATAAGAAGAAAGTATAAACTGAATGGATGAGTAAAACATCTTGCGAGCCAATACTAAGAAAACAATGGCAGCAAAAAAAGAAACCGTCTGGCACTTATTGTAGAAAGCGTAAGGCAAATTCGGAAGAGGAAGATAAAAAACAAGCCAAATCAATGAGTAGATTTTTGTTGAAATCATCTGGTGGCGAGTCCAGTCAGCCCAAAGAAGTCACGATAGAAGACGGCAATGACGTAGATATTTATTTATTTATTTTCCAAAGGAAAGATTAAAACAAGCAGCTGATCACAAACGGCAAACATTACATCATTGCCGTCTTCTATCGTGACGTCAAGCTTGACGAGATTTACGGCCTGTTTTTTTAGTGTGGCCTTGGTAGGCTATTGCTAAAGTTTAAGATGAGTAAAAGTGTAAAAATGTTAACTTAAATTTCTGCGAATAATAAACAGTCTTTTATTGCAAGTATTTTTCTAACCTAAACTTATAAAAAAGTTCTTCCCAAAATTATTGGGAAAAAATCACAAATACGGTAAGTTATGTTCATGTTTGGGGGGGGGGGGGGAATTTTATGTGGCGCTGATTCGGGTGTTCGCTTAGCTCTGAAAAATTCCTAGAACCGGCCCTGAACGTTTCTGTCTAACGCCAATAGGCGTGGGCTGTTTGCGTTTTTCCTAGTTCGCCTACTCGATGGCTGTCCACTGTCCAGCCGTCACAGCAGAAGTGTCATCGTTATCGGAATATTGAAGATATAAAGTGTACTAGCAGTTACCCGGCGCGTGTTGCCGCGCTAACAACTATTGTTTTACATAGTAATTTGTTCTTTATGATAAATAATAAAAACGTATACCAAAAACAAAAATAGAATATTTATTTTACTTAATTGCCAGTGGACCAATGTTTTTTGTTTTTCATAAGGTGTATATAAGTTTTTAGGCTTACTTTATCATCACGTTAGCACGCAACATACAGCTGTCCATGTGAAAAGCATGCATTTTCTAAATTTAAACTGGCGATAGTGAGGGATTGCCCTTGTGCCTTATAATGGTGATTGCGAAAGCAAGATGCTCAAAGGGTAATTTGGATGAAATCATCGGTATTCTTGGGAGTAAGACTATTTCTCCTTTAAACTTACCACTGATGATTGTTGTTTCGATCAAATTTGGTGTCATTTTTTTAATCGTCAGTTTCGGTTCTGTTGCACAGCTTGGGTGGATTTAAGTTTTGCATTAGTATTATTGGAGTTCCTTCTTTTAATGACAATGACAGTAATGTGGTGGGTTAGTGACAAATTGGGAGGCATTTGAATACCTGAGATAGCACGATATTTGAACTTAATAATTTGTTAGATTGCGTGGGTATATAACAAGAGAAAAAAGTATTAGGGCATTGACATCCCTTTTATTGTTTTAATACTTTGATAAAGGTTTTTACTTTTTATTATTTACATATTTAATAGTGGAGAATTTAAACGTTGTTGAGTGCATAGGTGTGCTGCGATTGGGGTTTAATATATTTGGACTTATCCAAAAGTAAAATAGTTTTCTGTGCTGAATTCTGTGGAAACAGTGTAGCACTATTTCAAATTAAGACTATTATTTAATTAATTAATTAATTAATTAATTATTACTAAATTAAAGTGGCTTTTAGGGTCAATAGCCCCTATTGTAGTAATTATTTTGTATAAATTATTAGCCTCATTGTTACCCTACCTTGAATTATCGTTTCACATTTTTGTGTATTTATATGTATAGGCCTAATACTTATTACATACCTGCATAATGCATTTTGATGTCTGCTCTGTTTAAAAATTCCAAAGGAAAGGTTTGCGGTGTGTTTATAATGTAAACTTTATAATCAATCATAATATAACTAAAGGAACATTTTTTCAATAATAATGACGATCAATTAAATCTATATATAGATTTATTTGAATATAGACAAATTATTCATTTAGAAAAACACATAGAGATAATGTCATCCTCCAAATTGTAAAATGCTAATTCTATGACAAAATCTCTCTGAAAACAACATTTGTTACCGTATTGTATGTATAGTATCCACTTTGATCGATTCCTTGGTCTTTATTTGGTTCTAGTACTATTTTAAAATCATCTGGCCGCTTTACCCGGCTGACAAACCATCCTTGAATAATGCTTAATAATGCCTTAAAGTGTTATTACAATCTGCGCGGTTTTGGAGTCCATAGGGTATATACATACATACATACATACTTCCTCTTTTAATAGACAACGTCCAAATAAAACAGCTGGCACACTCATATCAAACAGCCAAGAATTTGTATTTGCTGTAGAAAATGAGTTGTGTTTTAACTCTCCAAAAAGCTGTAAAAATCGTCTACTAACAAAATGTATGTGCATTTTCATACAGGGTGTCTTATAATTAGGTACAAACAAATTTGGAATAGTTTTAATGGGTCAAAATTTAAATCTCACAAAATCTTTTATTGTGTTACCTCATTGTTTTGTTACTTAATTACACTAGTGCCAGTGCTCTCAAGTAAAAAAACAATGTGGTAAAGTGAATCTTTTAAATTCTAAGAACTGAATTGAAAAGACTAGTTGTGAGAAATGTGAGTAATTTGTATATTTTTCTGGTGCAGCAGATAAGATAAACTTCAAAATGTTGCCTCGTTTATGCTCGAACAAACTCGGCATTAAACCCATTGTGGAAGGAGTCAATGCCCTGCCTGCAGTCTCCTCTTTCAATAATAAATTTTACCAAATTTGTAGACTTTTACTCCAATTGTTATAGTAAGAAAACCTTACGTAAATAAATTAATAATTCTTTCACCATTTTTAGTAGTTAAATGCTATCTCTAGAACAATAAACAACAAAGAACTTTGTATCCATAGAGACAACTCACTTTTTTTAAAGATATCATACAGCCAACATCAAAAATAATTTATTCTTAGTTAAACGTTTTTGAGTCCTAAAAAAGCAACGGATATGATCCGTGTTCTGGTGGCGTTTGCAGGTGTAGGTTTTGGGTTGGGCATATGTTGGATTTTGGAGCACGTATTCGGGCGTCCACCTCCACCAGCTCCTTTCCTTGGATACCTGCTCCAATAGGTTGGAGCAAACTTCCCTCCCCCCTCAATATCTAGGGGTACAAAGGTGCTGCATGGGGAGGAAAAAAGGAAAATAAACTAACAATATGCAGCAATGTAAAATGAAGAGAGAAAACTGAAAACCAGAGTAAAGAGAAAGATCTATGAGAGTAAACAGCATCTATATTGAAGACGACCTTCCCCATTCGTTAAGAATTACAATAGTGTCAATAAAATAGTGAATTGTACGTGTTAAATTCCATAATTTTCATAAAATTCCTTTATTGAGTAGAAGGGTCTTGCGATTAGCCACTTCTTCAACTCCTGGTGTAGCTTGTTGCCAGTCAGGTCTCTCAGGTAGTCAGGTAGATGGTTCCTCAGTTTGCAGCCGGTGTAGGAAGGTTTTTTCTCCCAAAGAGTTGTTCGGTGAACTAGTAGGGCAAATTTGGAGCCATGTAAAACAAGTAGCTTTAGAGAAAAGATGTCAATAATAAAAACATTTTAAAATTGCATTTACTGTCTAAAAAAATCATAAAATATAGGGTCCTAAAGAAATATTAATGTTGGCAGCCACATTGAAAAAATAGTGGCTAAAATTATTTTTTCAACTTGACCAAAATTTTTAAAATAAAAATCTTTGCAGTTACAATTTAACATTTTTTATATCCTTATATATATACATGAAGGTGATTTCTACAAAAATACAACTATTTTTACAAACGATTTACAAATTGAGTATTTTTGGTGTAGATGCCCCCTTTCAACCAATTCCTGTGATAAAAGTCCTCGGGCTTTGCCCCACAGGCCATCAAAATCCCAATGTATTTCTTATGAAGAAAAGATTTTGTTTACTTGAACAGACGAATAATTTGTATTAATTGAAAACAGCTGTTCATAGTAAACGCATGATACACACAAGAGCTTTCGTTTTCAGAGTGAATTCGTTTTCAGTTTCAATAACTGGAGTAGAGTAATCGAGATTACATTATCTTTGGGTTGACTCTTTTAAGTCATTGGGAATCATGACTGTTATTCGTTTTTAAATTAATGCCTGCAATACTTTGCAATTGCTCGAATTTGAGCAACAGGTGCCCTAGTCTCTTATAACTTTCGAATAAAACAGCTGGCACACTTTATCAACCACCCTGTATGTACAGCAACAAATGTCCATGAGAAAAAGTTACTATTTATTAAAAAGTATTGCTTATGTTTTTATTTCTCTAAATAGAGGTAAAGTACAAA